ACGGGGGGTTGGGGGGTGGGAGGGGGTGAGGGCATGAGCGGGGGTGGTGGTGGAGGGGGAAGTGGGGACAAGGACACATATGTAATATTTTAATTAATAAAAAATTAAAAAAGAAAGATCAGAAGGGCTTGTTTGCAGGTGAGAGAGAGGGTCATCTACAAATAGAGAGAGACAGTGAGTCAGCAAGCATTTCTCCCAAGTTATCCTCACATTTTACTCCTGCAAGAGCTTCCAGATGGTCTTTCTCTGTTTACCCTTGTGGCACTGCCCCCTCCCCCAACCTTCTCCACACTGAGCCAGAACAGCCCATAGGAATACAGATCTTATCAAGCACCTGCTTCCACCTATTCAAGGGCTTTCCCTCCACCAGCCTTAAGGAACCTGTTGGACCCTGGGGACCCCCAAGGGCAGAGCTGAGACAAGGCTCACTGAGGATTGATTTGGGAAGTGATATCCTGCAGCTGGACTGAGGGACACTGCCCCCCTGGAGAGCACGCATGGGCTTTGCCCTCTGTGGCCCACAGCGAGGACCAGACCCACACCGACAAGGAAACACCAGATCTCTGTGATACGAGGAAGGTGAGTCAACCAAGGTAAACAAAACAAAGGAGAAGGTTCCTTTCTGGGCCACTCAGGTCAGCATGACCTTGACCACCCTGACCTTAGTGGGGCAAGCTGGAAACACACTGAGGCTTCCTCACTAGGGCCCAGTGTCTGATAGGCCCTGTGAACAGCACAAGGATGTGTGAGCAGCCTGTCGGGTGAGGTACCAGTTCTCTTTGGAAATGCTTTGACCTGTGGGTATTGATTCTTCTGGATCCTCCATCACTTCCTGCCAGTCCAGCATTAAGGAGGGAGCTCTTATATCAGGGGCTTGGCTTAGTGTGAGGAGTCAAGGAAGGCTTCCCTGAAGAGGGGGCACCAAGGGTTGAAGAGGGTGGGGAGGAGAGTGGGAGTGAGAATATTTGGGGCAGGGATCTCACCTGCAGGGGCTCTGGCTGGGAGTGAGGCCATGCTGAAAGGACACTGATGGAACTGCAGTGTGGCCACTCGGCTTCCCTGCCAGGAACCTGTAAGAAAGGGCTGTGGTTGGAAAGCTGGGCATTGGAGCACTGGAAGCTACCAGCTGACTCTGCAGGGATGGGAGGTGGCATGGTTGGCACAGACACCACTGCTGCTGGAGCTATGTGTCTGCAGCCCGGGGACCTGCAGGACAATGCCACAGAGCTGCTGCTTTTGAGGTCAGC